TTCAACTACCTGAAGGGAGGTTATAGCCAGGTGGGGGTTGGTCTCTTCTCCCAGGCAACCGACAACAGGACAAGGGGACATGGGCTCAAGCTCTGCCAGGGGAGGTTTAGGTTAGATGTTAGGAAGAAATTCTTTACAGAGAGGGTGATCAGGCATTGGAACAGCCTACCCAGAGAGGTGGTGGATTCAGCATCCCTGGAGGTTTTTAAGCAGAGATTGGATGTGGCCCTTAGTGCCATGATATAGTAACTGGAGTTGGATCTGGGGTTGGACTTGATGATCTTGGAGGTCTTTTCCAACCCAATCTATTCTATGATTCTATGATTTCTACAATACTTCCTGTAGCATACACGTACAGTATACTCAGTAAATGTGCTTTTTCTATTTTTCATCACATATGACTGAAAACAATGAGTCATCTGACATTAAACAGTTATTAAAATATCAAGGGTGACACAACACATAATCAATGGCAATAAAACTGTGGCACTGCTATAAAATGTACTAATAAGCTTATCTGCTGGCATAAAACTTTGGCAGGCATATGGAAATTGACTTTTAGTACTTTCAGTATGCCTTATACTTTTCCTCGTTTCTCCTAGCAGCTCACTAATCCATGTTCCAGTAGAATAAGGAGAACATAAGAGAAATTCAATAAAAATACATGAAAAGGAAGCTCTGACCTACTGAAATTCCTGGAATAACCAAAACCTGAAGTTCTCATAATTTTGCCTAAATATTTTTCTCTTGAGCTTGCTTCAGCCAAAGATGATAACATTATCTTAATGGGAGGAGTATTTTTGAAGGACCAAATCAGGCTTTGCATGAACTGGATGATTTGGAGAAATGGGTAGAAATTAAATAACACAGCAAATGCACTCAACGACAAGACACTCTCAAAGAACAAGGTACCAGCACACAAACTGGATAAATATCAGACTAGGCAACAAAACTATAGAAGGAGAATCAACAGCATAAAGCAGTTTTAAAAAATGCCATTTTGCACTGCATCAATAGAAATGTTTATGGTAAAACACAGTAAATATAAATACGGGTGCCAGTGCTGTAAAGTAGACAGTTGTCAGCTGTCAAGCCCTTCACTTAAATACAGATGTAAACAAGTTGGACAGATTGCAGAGTACAGCAGCAGAAACAAGACCCTTGAACCCATGAGCTTCCAAGTAGAGAGAGTTGTTTAGTCTAGAAAGAAAAAACATTTGGAAAGAGACATGACAACAGCCATAAACATGGATCTGTGCTTTATTTACTTGCTAACCCTTCAGGGTAAAAGTTATTGGGTGGAAATGCTGCCGCAGCAACACCTCGTCATTTATCCAGTGGGCAGTGGGGGTTGGTTATTATCCAAACAGGAAACCAGTGTGAGGCCCCAGATAAACCCTGTTCAGTTCAGCTCTGTAGCGCAGTTTAACTAAACATGACTCAACACTGCAGGAATAGGAACAAGCCAGCTGTAGAGGGGAGCTGCCTTCATCCTGAGCTGGTGAGGGAGCCTCA